GCGTTCTTTTATGTAGAACTAATGTTGACTTTTGCGAAAATGAATTTCCACAAATGTTGCAAGCATATGGTTTCTCTCCGGTGTGCGATCTTGTATGTGTAACTAAACTTCCTGTCTGCGAAAATGATAGGCCACAAACATTGCACGCATATGGTTTCTCCCCGGTGTGCGTTCTTTTATGGATATGTAATTTAGATTTACAACTAAACGTTTTAAAACAAACGTCGCACTGGAGAGGAGTGTTTCCAGTGAGAACATTTTCGTGACTATGTACACCGTTGACGTTGTTAAATGTTTTATTACAATATTGGCCAAAATACATACCTGTGTCGGTCATAGTGCGATATTCCGACGTTTGATCGTCCCGAGAATCCAAAATTTCTAATTTCTTTCCACAGTCTTCGCCCATATAATTATTACTATCATATGTTTCCATATCCATGTCCACTGATTGCAGGGAATCGTTTTTCGAATATTCCCTATCAGTGGTCTGTCGTTTACGTTTTTTTAATTTTTGCGGGGACACAAGTTCTTTACTAGTAACGGCCTATAAAACATTAATTCAAAATAATAATTAGATATTCTCAAATTACATTCATTGTATGTATTTAAAAAAAACTTCCTAAAATGTTGTGAATTTCTAACTGCAAAGTAATTTATATACCTATTTCGATTGTTCTAAAAGGGGGATAACAGGTATAAAAAAAGTACTATTACAAAACTACGTAGGCGCAATAATAATAATATAATATTTTATTGTAAACCCATTTTCTTTGTTTTTTTGTTGTAGGTAATCTAACACTGATTTTGTTTTTATATTATTTGAAATACTTAATAATTAAAATGGACAATTTAGTAAACCATTGCTGTACATACTTGTCCTCAGACCTCAACCAATTTTGAATGTGTTGCATACTAAAAAAAATATGTTTACATGTTACAGAAAACAGAACTCATTGGAATAACAACAGAAATTTGAAATAAATAAATCATGTTAGGAAACTCTTTTTGAACTGATTTTTTTAAAATTAAAAATTAAGGAAATTGCTCTTTTATCACATTATTTTTAGTGTTTTTAACCTAAGTACCTATACATTTATACATTTTATTAAAATCCAAAAGTAATAGGTTGTAGTAATGACAAACAACCGTTCTATGGATTTCTAGGAAGAATAGAGGGTTGCCACAATACTATTGATTTCTATTCAAAATGTTGTAGCCTCATAATTTAAAAAAATGTCCCTTTCCACTGTACCTATCACTCTTTAAGGGATACCTCATTACTTCTATAGAATATAATGATTAATGAATATCATATTTAATTAAATATCTTAGAAAAAAAAAAATAATAATAAACTATTAAAAAACTAATACCAACCTTAATAATTTTTTTCTTATCTTTCTTTTTGTTCTTGAATATTTTTTGAAATCTACACAAGAATAGAATAATTATATTTTTCACTGCATACAATTTTTTATAAAAAGAATTACAAATTTATCATATTCAAAAAGAATATTTTATTTATATTTAAACAAATTATTATAAACAAAAATGATCAGCTAATTTTACTTATTCTCATATACTCACAAATCAAGGTACTCCTCTTCATATACTTTCGAAATTCTCGAATTATAAGGAGTCTTAATCATAGCAGGATCTATTTAGTAAAAATAAAGGTATAATATAATACAACATTTTTAACTCAACACAATACAATTTTTTATAATATAAATTAAATTAAATATTTTAGAATAAATATCTATACTTTATTGTTTACCATTAGTCTTTCTATTTCCCTCTCATATGTGATTTATAGAATTAATTAGATAGTATAAATAGACAATTCATTTATAAAATGTTGGATATATTATAAATTGGCCAACCAAGGCAGTTAAAAATATTTTCAACAGTTGTCCTAAATTTTACAAATTAGTTTTGAAGAAATACAATAGGTTCATTTTTTTTGAATACGCGATGATAGTGATAACACAAATTTACTATCTAGAGAGACGGAGTGGCGAGCGGATTAAGGCGTTGATTGCAAAGCACACCAGTGCTGGTTCAAACCCGGCCGCGGGTGGAATTTTTCTTCAGGCAAGTCACGGTGTCCGGAGAGAAGTGCTGCAAATCCCCCAACAAGACATAACAGATACCTACGGGTGCCCACTAAAAAATCTGCCAAACCAAAAACACAAGTGTATACAAGCTTACAATTTCCTCCCTACAAACAAAAACCAACAGCTAATGGCCATAGTCGACGGGCTTCATGATCAAAAAATTACTATCATTAAAATAAAACTAATATTGAAATATTATGTGTCAGAAAACAAATACAATTTATTAATATATATCCTAAAAATTAAAACATACATAAGAATTTAATAAATACATTTTTTTCCCCTTTTCCATTTGTTAATACAAAATACTCAACATAATTTTGATAGGCAGAATATATATGCGATAAAATAACAATAAAAGCATTTATATAAATTATAAATTAAATAGATATAGATACGTTTATGCATTTATACTATATTGTTTCAATTTTTAGTCAAACAATAACCCCATATAATTTTGATAAGTGAGGCCCTATTGAATATGCTAATTACTTAATACTTTTAATATGTTTCAAACAAAAGGTTTCACTCAAATCTAATTTTTGTAAACAGCATACTATAATACAATTTGAGAATTGATATACTACTAGATATTTAAAATATTAAATTATTCCAAAATCAGTTTATATCTTATGGGACTTTTGTTGTGTTAATAGGCAGTAATAGCAGTTTCTAAAACATTTATTTCGGAAGATATTTGTAAGATGCAAATTTTACCATTGTGAATCTCATTTGACTGCTCTTCAGCTATACATTTTTTCAGGTCCTCCATATTTTTAAAATTCTTTTGTATAGATTCGTATTTTGACAACTCAGTATCTTCTTTTTTTGCCTTTTAAAATTAAATGTTTAAGAATGTAAATATAAATCTCAACATGTTTATTTCTTTTATATAGACAGGTCCACGGCAGAGGACTTGTAGCTCTAAAAAATCATCACATATGCACTTCAATGTATAAAATATACATTTTAAAATGAATATTTTAGAATACAAAATAAGCATTTTTTCTGTAAATACCTATTATTTTAACGAATATATTTTATTTAAATTTTAATTAGTAAGTTACAATAAGTATTGAATTATTTTAATTAATTGGTTTTCAGATACTTCTTCAAATTAATCCATCAATGTGTTCAACTTCTAAAAAATAAAATAATTGAGGAAATATTTCAGTTTCAAATAATCAAATATTTACACTCGAGATGTGTTTCTAGGAAAAACAAGTGTCTGGGAACAGCTAACGACCATTAACAATAACGATCAACATTATTTTGGTTGTGAAAGTAAATAAACAAAAACTTCGACCAAAAATTATTAATAAAATGATTAAAGCATGAATGTATTTGTGTCATACACAGCTACTTTTGTGACTGTGCAAAAAAAATATGCAAATGCTACAAATCCTCTGCCCTATAGATGACCAATAGCTTTCAAAATCTGCCTTTATCAGCATTTTACATATATTTCTTATATTCAAGTAAACTACAAAAAAGTATAAATAATTAAAAAACAAAACAATAAATACCTTAGATTTTTTCTTCTTTAACTTGGACTTTTTTAATGGACTTTTTAACCTAAACCAAAAAGACAGTTACTCACTAAACAATGAACTAAAATAATAAACATGCAATTATTAACTAATATCTAATAAAAAGCAAACATAGATTCTTTTCTTTGCTCAAAATCTAAAAAGTTCTTGTGGTTCTATTTCCCATTTTTATTCCCATAATTATTTTTTACAATTGGAGCGAATGTCTATATTTGGAACTGAAAATTATGTATTACAAAATTCATTGTTTATGATAAATTAAAACCTAAGTTTAGATCAATGAGAGCTCATTGTATAAATTGAAAAAAAATGTTTAATGTCTACAATAAACAAAATTAATTAACTTATTTATCAATATTATTGTATGATTTATATATTATATAAATCATAAACTGCGACGCAGTTCAAACTTCTTCGGGCAAGTCACGGTGTCCGGAGAACAAGTGCCGCCATCCCCCACCCGGGCATGGCAGATACCTACGGGTGCCCAAATTGAAAATTCTGCCAAAACCCAACACCCACGTGTTCACCCCCCTACTACAACCAACTATACAATACACCTACACAAACAAACCATACAGCTAATGGCCACAGTTGCCGGGCTTACGTTCAATAAAAAAAAAAAAAATCATAAACTAAATAATGATACTAAATACTAAAAAGTAATTAAATTTTTTAGATGCTTACAATGTCAATTCTTCATCATCCTCTGAAGCATTTGCAATTTGAATACTTGTTGTCGAATTGTCTAAATATGTTAATAAACATATTAAATATTAATATAATTATACATCATGGTTACAAAAAATACGCACCTCTATTTAAATTGGAACCACTTATATTGATTTTATTTAAATACTTGATTTTGTCATTACAGGTATCATTATAAAATTGTTGTACTTTCAATGTAGCTTTATCGTTTTTCAAATATTTATCTATTTGTACCTAAAGACAACATAACAGTCTTTTAGGTAATAGCCAGTAGGTATCTATTTTATTTTATTTTAATATCAAAACATACCATTTTTTTATCTCTCTTCTTTTTCTTCTTTTTTTAAATCTACAATGTGCATAATAAAAAAATACAATACCACATATGAACAATATTTTAATAAACAGGAACCAAATACATACATTATATGTTTATACATTTGTTAACAATTAATTTAAACGTGCTCAAGAGCAGCTACAAGATTAAAATCAAAGAAGACACACCAATAAAAAATGTTTAATGTAAATAAGGCTCAAAATTAATGATGTAACTTAACTTCAAATGCACAAGAAATAAAAATATGATTGTATAAATCAATTTAATCTTTCATTGATAGCTACTTACAACAAGTCCCCTTCTGAATCATTGGTAATAGAAATGCTTCTTGTGAATTCATCTAAAAATATAAATAATCATATTAAATAATTAAATATTCAAATATTCGACTAAAAGTATGGACCATGAACATTGAACATCATTGCAATAAAAAAAAAACAAGACCTTTGCTGAAATTAGAGTCCATTGTTTCGTCCAAATACAAATGTTTGTTATTTTCATCACAGTTCTCAGTATAAAACTCATCTTCCTTCAATATACCTACATCGTTTTTGAAATTATTATCATTTTGCACCTAAAGACAATATAACAGTCTTATAGTTATCTAATATTATTTTATTTTATTTTAATGTCAAAACAAACCATTATTTTATCTCTCTTCTTTTTCTTCTTCTTTTTTTTAAATCTACAATGCGCATAACAATAAAATACAATACCAAGTATAAAAAATATTTTAATATATTATGTGCAATAAAATATAATAACATGATGGTATAGTCATTTAAACTTTTAATATTACTTACAAAGAGTCACCTACTGAAATTTTAGAAATATTAATATTTCTTGAGAATTCATCTAAAAATAGAAACCACCACTTTAAATAATAATGAAATAACATCATAACAAAAAAAACGGACCTTTGCTTAAATTAGAATCCAATGTTTTGTCTTTAATCAAATGTTTGTTATTTTCATCACTGGTCTCAGTATAAAACTCATCTACCTCCAATGTACCTATATGGTTATTCATATTTTCATCATTTTGTGGCTAAAGAAAACAGAACAGTCTTTTATGTAATAGGTATCCAATTTTTTTTTACTTTAATATCAAAACAAACCATTTTTTTATCTCTCTTCTTTTTCTTCTTCTTTTTTTTAAATCTGCAATGCGCATAACAATAAAACATAATACCAAGTATAAAAAATATTTTAATATAATATGTACAATAAAATATAATAACATGGTGGTATAAAGTCATTTAAACTTTTAATGTTACTTACAAAGAGTCGCCTTCTGAAATTTTAGAAATATTAATATTTCTTGAGAATTCATCTAAAAATAGAAACCACTACATTAAATAATAATAATAATGAAATAACATCATAGCAAAAAAAAACGGACCTTTGTTTAAATTAGAATACAATGTTTTGTCTTTAATCAAATGTTTGTTATTTTCATCACAGGTTTCAGTAAAAAACTCATCTACCTCCAATGTACCTATATGGTTATTCATATTTTCATCATTTTGTAGCTAAAGAAAACAGAACAGTCTTTTATGTAATAGGTATCCAATTTTTTTTACTTTAATATCAAAACAAACCATTTTTTTATCTCTCTTCTTTTTCTTCTTCTTTTTTTTAAATCTACAATGCGCATAACAATAAAATATAATAACATGATTGTATAAAGTAATTTAAACTTTTAATGATACTTACAAAGAGTCGACTTCTGAAATTTTAGAAATATTAATATTTCTTGAGAATTCATCTAAAAATAGAAACCACCACTTTAAATAATAATGAAATAACATCATAACAAAAAAAACGGACCTTTGCTTAAATTAGAATCCAATGTTTTGTCTTTAATCAAATGTTTGTTATTTTCATCACTGGTCTCAGTATAAAACTCATCTACCTCCAATGTACCTATATGGTTATTCATATTTTCATCATTTTGTGGCTAAAGAAAACAGAACAGTCTTTTATGTAATAGGTATCCAATTTTTTTTTACTTTAATATCAAAACAAACCATTTTTTTATCTCTCTTCTTTTTCTTCTTCTTTTTTTTAAATCTGCAATGCGCATAACAATAAAACATAATACCAAGTATAAAAAATATTTTAATATAATATGTACAATAAAATATAATAACATGGTGGTATAAAGTCATTTAAACTTTTAATGTTACTTACAAAGAGTCGCCTTCTGAAATTTTAGAAATATTAATATTTCTTGAGAATTCATCTAAAAATAGAAACCACTACATTAAATAATAATAATAATGAAATAACATCATAGCAAAAAAAAACGGACCTTTGTTTAAATTAGAATACAATGTTTTGTCTTTAATCAAATGTTTGTTATTTTCATCACAGGTTTCAGTAAAAAACTCATCTACCTCCAATGTACCTATATGGTTATTCATATTTTCATCATTTTGTAGCTAAAGAAAACAGAACAGTCTTTTATGTAATAGGTATCCAATTTTTTTTACTTTAATATCAAAACAAACCATTTTTTTATCTCTCTTCTTTTTCTTCTTCTTTTTTTTAAATCTACAATGCGCATAACAATAAAATATAATAACATGATTGTATAAAGTAATTTAAACTTTTAATGATACTTACAAAGAGTCGACTTCTGAAATTTTAGAAATATTAATATTTCTTGAGAATTCATCTAAAAATAGAAACCACCACTTTAAATAATAATCAAATAACATCATAGCAAAAAAAAAACGGACCTTTGCTTAAATTAGAATCCAATGTTTTGTCTTTAATCAAATGTTTGTTATTTTCATCACGGGTCTCAGTGTAAAACTCATCTACCTCCAATGTACCTATATGGTTATTCATATTTTCATCATTTTGTAGCTAAAGAAAACAGAACAGTCTTTTATGTAATAGGTATCCAATTTTTTTTAATTTTAATATCAAAACAAACCATTTTTTTATCTCTCTTCTTTTTCTTCTTCTTTTTTTTAAATCTGCAATGCGCATAACAATAAAACAATATACCAAGTATAAAAATTATTTTAATATATGTACAATAAATAAAAATATGATTGTATAAAGTTATTTAAACTTTTAATGATACTTACAATGAGTAGGTCTCCGTATAAAACTGCTCTACTTTCAATGTAGCTATATCGTTTTTGAAATTATTTTCATTTTGTACCTAAAGACAACATAACAGTCTTATAGGTATGTAATATTATTTTATTTTATTTTAATGTCAAAACAAACCATTATTTTATCTCGCTTCTTTTTCTTCTTCTTTTTTTTAAATCTACAAAGTGCACAACAATAAAATACAATACTAAGTATAAAAAAATATTTTAACATACATTTACAAATTAATCCATACATTATTTGTTTGTAAATTTTAGTAGAATTTTATTTTAACGTGCAAAGAACTGTCACAAGATTAAAATCAGAGAATACACAACAATAAAAATGTCTTAAAGTAATAAATGCTCAAAAAGAGATATATGTGAGAGCTATAAATTTGTTTCAAATAACCAAGAAGCTAAATACAAAATTGTATGCATAATATTTTAGTATTTTTAATATTGTTCATTTTTTTTTTTTGCATATTTTAGTATTTTTAGTGCATATTTAAGCGCTTATATGAATATTTTTTAGAGCATATTATTGCGCTTATCACAACCTTTTTTGGAGCTATAACTTATGAACCATGGTTATTACAATATTCTCAATGATTTTGGTATGACATTCTTTTTAGACTAAAAATAAAACCCCTGAACTTTAATAAAATAGAATAATTATTCCTAATGTTTATCATTATTATATTTTATTTATTGTATAATAAATATATGTTAATATCATTTAAATTGTTAAAATAGGTTTATTTTAACATATACATAAACTCATCTATTTACATGATAGGTATATTCTAGTGAAATTTATGAACCATTACTTAATGCAACTTATTTATAATTATGAACTAGGTACCTGATCATCGGAGCCAATTTGTAGATTTAAGTATATACCAAAAAAATAATATTTTTTTTTTTTTATTTTAAAAAATATATTTACAATCTATACAACAGACAAGGTGTAATAAGTAAGTGTGGTGACATAAAATAAGATAAATAAGAATAGGAAGGCTCCCAGCAGTGCCAACTGACCAGAAATTAGGTTTTTTTTTATAGTTTTTCGTTAGTTAATCATTTTTTTTTTTTTTTTAGAGCAGGTCTCTTGGCCATTTTCTTTTTAACCTAATAATATTATGAATTGATTTAAAGATGCACATAGGCAACACTTATTCCACAGGGTTGGAAAATGTTAAATATTTATTCATAACAAAATTCGTAGAAAAAAATGAATTTTAGAATTCGAGAATATTTAGTCTACATAATATCATTAAGAGTATTATATTATTGATCTTATAAAATTCGTACTTGTTCATTAATCGAGTTGTAAGTAATTAATAGTGGGCAAAAATATTTTAAATCTAAAAATGACAGAAATATTAATTGCAATTGTTTTGGCTGAATAAATAAATAAATATGTGACTGAATTAAAATAATTTATCAGAGAAATTGAGTGAAATAATTGTATTTAAGTTAATAGTAAATATAAACATGTTATAATACCTATATAGTTATTTGATGTAAAAAATTCTTACTTTCAGTATATTTGACAAGTTTATAAGGATTACGAAGAGAAAATGTAAAGGTTTTTTTAAAAGTGTAATAGAATAATAATTTAAACTAGATATAATTTAACCTAAATATCTGATTTATCTTATAACAATAATAATAGTAAACAAGTTTTAATGTTACATAAACTTCTATGATGATCTTCAGCACTTCATTAAAATTTTATTTTATTAATAATAACAATTAACAATAATTAAAACAGATATTCAAAGTAAAAGACATACCTACCTACTAAATCTATACACAACAACTCTATTAGTGTATAGCTGGGTTGGTATTTTTATGCTTAAAATAAATACTAAATTATTTCATAATAACAGTCAAAGATACTTACAATATCAGTTCTGTTTCATCTTCAGCTGAAGCATTAGAAATAGGAATACAATTTATCAACTCATCTAAGCAATAAGATAAACTTATTAGATATTTTATTACTCAAATAATAACATTATAGCAACAAAAACAATAGTTTTGTTTGAATTGTTAGTCCTATTTGCTCTTTCTTGAAATAATTGTTATTGTCATTGCATATTATGCCTATTTGTAACCTAAGTTTTCCTAATTGTAGATCTGATTCAGAACCCTTATCTATTAAAATATAAGAATCGTCATTATGATGAAAAAGAACAAATTTAAAAGAAATTCGAATAATATGCAATATCACACCAGGCGGCAGGCACCCACAATTACAACTGCTTTAGAAACATCAATGGATAAAAGAAATTAAAATTTACCTTTGGATTTTTTTTGTTTCTTGCGTTTCTGAATTTCACGTTTTATAATACTTGCTATTGTAACGAAATCATCTTTTTTGGTAGCCATTCTTCTTCATTCTGAAAATTATAATCATAAATAAAATTATTATAGGTATTTACTGTTTCTACCAAGTAATTAAGAACCTTCTAAATTATGACTTAATACTTATTAAGTACCTACATACAAAATATATTATGTATATATTATATTATAATACATATTGTTTACCCAAGTCTCAATAATTTGTATGATTTGATTTCTGACACTATCACTATCGAGAATAGAACAGAAAGTCAGAAACTATGAATTATAAAAATAGAATAATATATATGTATACATAAACTTGGTATTTCTACACGATATAAGTAAATAACAATTAAATTAATTTTGTAACAGTACACATAAGTACATAACTCGGTTTTTTTTAGTTTATTACGCTAATATCACAGTTAGAACATTATAATTAATTGGGAAACAATTGGAGCCAAATTTTAAAATAATATTGTATTGTCAGTAGTTATCACTATGAACTATTATAAGAAGACATGGACTGGTCACCACGAATCACAGACTTCTATACTACACTAGATAAGGAACTCTTATAAGGAACTCGCCATTATGTCGGTTGGCAAAACATTGGAACTTTTCTACTTTACCGGACACCCTTTTTTTTGCGATTTTTTTTTGGGGACTTTGTCATATTTTTGACGAAAAAAATTATGGTGAAATCAGAATTTGGGGCTTAGTTTCGAAGTTATCGGCGAATGAAGTTGGCTATTTTAAGTTCACTGTGCCTATCATGAAGATTGATGTTTTTGTTTTTGAAACTTGTGCTTTTATGGAGATTACGGTGCGAGGTTATCCACTTTATCAGGTAATTAAAAACGAAAATATCCCTCGATCTGCTGACTGCTATCCAAATCCACCTAAGTTAAATTAAAAATGTAGGTATATTTGTTGCACCGAAAACTTAAATACCTAATGATATAAATAACTCATTGTATTAGGTTTATTGTTCCATTAAAACACCATAAAATTGTAGATTAAGTATATCTAATGTATTATACATTTTCTATAACAAAAAATCACTGTGTTTTTCTGTGCTTACGCGAAAAAATCTACGACACTACTTTCCTATACATACGATGGAGAATCATATTAATTTATTCGATTTATTTATGATGTCAAACCTAAACGACGGTTTAGGTTTGATTAATAAATTACAACTGTTAGGTGCATTGCCCACGGAAGAAAAGTGTATCCGTGGACATCAAATGAAGTTGGTGAAAGACCAATCTTCACTCGATAAGTTTAAATGGATTTAAACTCATCATATAATCTGTGGCGTTACTGCGCATGCGCTGGGACTTGTGATTATTCGCGTGTATGGGCAGTGATGCCTTCCTAGCGGCACTCGTCGCTACGCTCCTCGGCGCCGTCGCTCCGCTCCGCAAATCGAAAATATCCCTCGACTTGCTTAGCAACACCACCTTAAGTAGGTCACAGGGTAAGTTATGTCGTAGTATGGGCAGTGATGCTTTGCTAGCATCAATCTTCATGATAGGCACAGTGAACTTAAAATAGCGAACTTCATTCGCCGATAACTTCGAAACTAAGTCCGAGCCCCAAATTCTGACTTCACCATCGTTTTCAGCGTACTTACCTACATATATTTCAATTACAAAAATCGCAAAAAAAAAGGTGTCCGGTAAAGTAGAAATATACCTAATTTATAATTATAAATTATTATTATAATATTTTGTTTGGAAATCTTAAAGCATTACTCCAAGCTTCCCACAATAAATACCAGGGGCGTAGCGTGCATGTAAGCACTGTAAGCACTGCTTACACTTTAAATGAAAGAAAAAATAAATTTGATCAATCACGACTAATAGGTACATAATAAATGATTTTTAAAATTTTAATTTTATTTATAAAATATTTAAGTTATAGCTGGTAGTGGTTTTTGTTATTGTTTATTTGTGTCGTACGCTGTCTACTGATTACCAACTATTTTAAGAAAATCATCGATTGTAGGTCTATTTTTAATCCATTCTGTATTATGTTAACTGCATAATCATAATTCATAATACGATATACAGTGTAACACATTCTGAAATTGCTTACGGGCAGCTGTTGTTTTCGAATAGTCTATAATTCCATAGTGGGGGTCACGTATTTAACTAGCGTTTGTAAGCACATTTGATTTTGCTTACGCGAGAAAGAAGGAGCTACCCGTACGGCCGTACGTAGCCCGACGCATTGTACTATTGTAGACTGTAGTCGTTTTTACGTACACTGTCACTGCCATTCGCCTAATAGACTTTTGAAGTATTTATACTTCAATTTCTTTATTTTCTCTATTACATTTTTTTATACATAATTTATAATTAGGCCGGTATTTAGGTATAGTACCTATATTCTAATCACTTTTGAAAAAAAAATTTCACTGCTCACATCTTTTTAATACCCACGCCACGCCACTGATAAATACTATGAATATTTAATATTTTGTTATTTTTTGTTGCTACAAATCCAACATTTTAGTAATTTAGTTAGCCTTGTTGGCAAGACGCAAGAACTTTTGAGTCTTGTTCAATCTATGTATGATGAATGATGATGTAGTATTTAATTCATAATTTATTCATGTATATAACTAAATATACGTTATTGGTACTTTTCTGTACATTTGTGTTTATTTATTTTATAAAAATGGGAAGAAAATGTGCAGTTAAATTGTGCACAAGCGCAGATGATACTAGTAAATGTACCTTTTTTAAAGTTCCTAAGACCTCGGTAAATATTTGGACTGATATTGTTTCAAAGGTAAATGGTTTTGCTACAAAAGTTAATTTTGTATGCGAAAAACACTTTAAGCCAGATGATTTTTTAAACAATTATTCAGGATGGTCCGGTTATAACACTAATGATGAAGTACCTATGTTGATTTTATTCATAAATATTTAATACAATTATAATACTTAAACATATTATTTACAATATTATAGTTGACTCCTTTTACATTAAGACTCAAGCCTGGTTTAAAAAAAGGTTCTTTTCCCTCGGTTTTTAATTATGAAACAATAAATGATACATAAAGTTTATTTTGTAAACAGGTAATTTATTATTAAATTAAAGATATAAATAAAATTACATGTGAAAATAAAACATTTAGGTTTCGAACAAAAGATCGATAGAAGACAATCTTCATGATAGTAGTCTTAAATGTAAGCGATAATTGTTGTGGCCTGTTGAGAGTACTGAAACAGAGCTTATACTACATAACAATAATTCACAGCAGGTTAAAAATAATTATATATGCATATATAAAAATGTTACTATCCAATATTTTTTATTTTTTAATGAAACAGATTCGGTGTTTTGAAACCAATGAACATTTGATATCCGATTTGAAACAAATTCCAAATAGTGTAAAATTACCTAATGGCTGGTACTTTCATTGTGATGAGGTTGCTCCGAGTTATTTCTGTATAAAAAATGAAAAAACAGATATAATTAAAGCAACAGTAGAAAAGCAAGTAATTATAAATTTTGAAGAGAGTCAAATAACAACTTATATAAAGGATAAGTTGATTACGGAGGATGTTTTGGGGATTGCTAAAATAGCATTTTCACAGAATATATCACACGTATACAACATTTGGTAGATGTTATGAACTCTACATATGTTTGTACAGGTGGCCCAAGTGTAATTAACTATCCAGGTTTGTACTAAAAAATACTTATATTTATAGCATGAACTAAGAAGATTCTTAGTTTATGATTTATTAATAAAGGTATTCTTTTTTTTTTTATAAGGCATATCAGCTATAAACATGCATTTAAAGGAATCATTTTATGAATCATTGCACAATAATGACCTAAAACAAATATCAAAAAGAATTTGTCCAAAATTAACTAAACGACATTTGTGCTTGGACAGTTTTTCAAAGATGATCGTAAAACAAGCGGCACAGGTTAGATTATTAAAGAAAATATTTATTTTTTTTTTACTACCTACACTTATAATTATATTCTATGTTACATTATTTTTATATTCCTACCTTGTTTTCACAGATTTTTAGTAATTCAGTTGCAGTAGGCTTAAAATATTATAGAGAATATCAAAAAGTACCAGAACTCGAAAATAGTTTAGAGACTGAAAATTTTTCAAATTTATTTAATAATATTTTTGATGCATTAAATAGAAAATTCCCAGGCGAGGGTATAAGATAAAATTCTGAGGATTTTAAAGTATTTATATTCATAAATATTTCACAATAGAATATTTTTTCAAAAAATGTTATTATATAAGGTTTTAGAAGATGGAATAAAATTTATTAATTCATGGGAACAGAATTTAATGGATCAAAAGATTATGGAATCCGAATTTTTAACAAAACCAACTGCTGATGGCCTACGAGTAACAATGAAATCAACCATTGAACTAGCAAAATATTTACTTAAATCTGGATTTCAATATGTGCTATCGAATAAAATGAATCAAGATAAATTAGAAGTAATATATTGATACCATGAAGTAAGTCAAGTTCAAGATTGATACAAAATATTCCTGAATAAACATTTTCTTATTTTTTTTTTATTTCAGTAATTTTTTGGAATGGTTCGTCAAGCATCAGGACCAAACGATTATCCTAGTACTCCTACATTTATACATATCTATAAGATATTATCGTCATATTCTATTTTGAAGCCACCAAAATCTGGAAACTGTACCATTTTGGAAACATCAGTACCTAAAATTACATTATCTGATATTATTGTTACTGTAGTTTTTTAATTCTCAACTATGTTATTGTAACAAAATATAATAAGCTTTTCATTAAACTTTCAAGCTCAAAAACCCAACAAATAAAATTTAATTGCCTTGTATAGAAAAAAAAATAAAAAAATTGGAAACTGAAAATGTCCGTAAACCGTGACTCAAAACAATTAGAAATATTTTAAAAATTGTATCGAGCATAACTAAAATTTCACGTATCTAAGGTTATTTTTTATAGATTTGCACCAAACTCCAAAATTGATTTTGTCAAAAACTGATTTTC